AGAATATTTCAATTGACATTTCTTATTAAAAAGAGATCTTAAGAAGCAGGTCTTTGGAAGAAGTTGAAAATATTTTTTTTTTCAATTTTTATTCTTTTATTTTCTTGTTATCTATTTAAACATTTTTAAATATTATCTTTTTCCTTTTTTTCAACTATTATTTTGTCATTTTCTATATTCTAATGGTTTAGTATGATATAACCTACTGGCAATAATGCAATGGACTAGAAGGATTTTCACTTAAAGACACTGTGAAGTGAAATATTGTTTCCAAGGTCAAACTTAGAGGCTTTTATATTTACAATGAGTTAATTAGATTAGAATAATAGTTTAGTTATAGTATATATCATATTGCTTAAGTGAAAATGTACATATATTTTCAATTGATTAATAAATTTACAATCTAGCCTGGTTACAGGTACTCAAAAAAAAATATGTTAAACTTTGTAAACAATATAAATAAAATATATTATACAATTACTAAGTAAACTGAATATTAAATAGAAATCATAGAAAAAATTTAGTTTTTATTTGATGGTTTTATTTATAAATTTGAAATTTTTATTAATATTAGTTAGATCTAAACTAGTTCTCTTTTTTTTAAAAAGATAGCTCAATCACAAGATGAAGTGTTTTTTTAGAAACTTTCCTATTTTTAATATATTAGTTGTTTAAAATAGTCTGAATGTATAGTTCTAGAAGTAAGTTTTATTATTATTATTTCAATAAAGAACTAATTGTACAGGGTTTAAAAAAAAGAGATATTTAAAAATATACAACCATATTACAAAAAAAGAAAATTCAGCTTTTTTCAAAGATTCATATTTCCAAGACTTTTTCTCAATAAGAGTTGCTTGATTGAGATATTATTTTTTTCTGATTATCTAAGAACCTTTATTTCCAGAAACATACCTTGTCCCAACTTACTTCGGGCAGTGATTTTTTATCAAATATAAATCCTAATACTGTATATACCTATTTCTATTTATATACAGTATAAAGATTTTTTTATAAATGATTCTTTTAATTAACACATTATAAAAAATAAAACTTAACTTTACAAGACTTGGTACAAAAAGATTAGCTAAAAAGTAATAACAAAACTACAAGGGTTAAAAAATATAATAGTTTTTATCTCTCTCAAAGAATTCTTTGTTGCTTTTTCAAAATCGGTTTTCACGATTCCAATTTATTAAACTTTTGGTGTGTCTAAAATTTTCATTATACAGTATGTTAGTGGGATGCAGCATGGTTACACGTAAAATGAAAAGGGTGGAGAATTTTGAGGTTTTTAAGGGCATCTGAAAAAGTACGCAGAAAATTTCGCATCTCGATTTGTATCTCCAATTATATGTCTTATACAAGAAGTGAGTTGAATGTTTCAAATAGTCAGATTAGTTATCCGGAGAAACTTTTTTATGTTCTCACGATGGAATTCCTAATGTTTAGAGAGTATCTTTGCTTGCGCACCAACCACTAACCGTGGCCAGGCCGTTCAGCTGGGCTCGGACCCGAAAGGTCAAAATTTTCTTTACACAAATGGCAAGACCGTTATCATCCGCAACATAGCTGTCAGTTCACAATTTCTTCCTGGTTTCGATATTATTTTTATGAGCACATTATCGAATTCCGAGCAAAGAATTCATACCATTCAGTGTCTGTCTATTTGTTGCTTAAAAGAACCCGGCAATTGCGACTGAATATACCATGCACTCTGCACCTGCGACGGTGGCTCAATATTCGCCAAGCGGGTATTACATCGCTTCTGGTGGTAAGGGCTCAATTCAATCAAAACTTGTGAATTTTTTTTTTTTTTTTTGGTCACTGTTCAATAACCGATTCCATCTTCATTGTTAGATATGCAGGGCAGCGTCCGTATTTGGGATACGATCCAAGCGGAACAAATTCTGAAGAATGAGGTCAAAGTCATCGCCGGAAGGATCAATGACATTGCCTGGGATTCCGAGAGCAAAAGATTAATTGCTGTCGGTGATGGTAAAGAACGGTAATCATGATCGAGATGCAAGCTGTGGATTAATTTGCCAGGGTGAATACTTCCAATACCGAGCAAGATTGTCTTCCACTAATCGATCTCTTATGATTTTCTTTAAAAACTCAGCCGCGGACACGCATTCATGTTCGATACCGGATCATCCGCCGGGGAAATAATTGGACATTTAAAAGTGATCAACAGCGTTAGCATTCGTCAACAACGCCCATTCCGCGCTGCCACTGGATCCGATGACTTCACTGTTGTATTCTATCATGGCGCACCATACAAATACAATTTTACCATTAGGGATCACACGGCATTTGTTCAGAGTGTAAAATTTTCCCCGGACGGTGAAAAGCTGGTGACTGCTGGTTCGGACAAAAAAGTAAATGCTATCCCGCGTAAATGTATATATATATACAGTATATATATTTCGATAGCCCATTAAAACTAACAGTTTAAATTCCTATGGATCAATCGATTAGATATTTTTATACGAGGGAAAGACGGGCAATAAATTGTCAAATCTTTCGGAAGCTGCTGGCGAGGGAGCACACACTGGCGGGGTGTACGCCGTTTCATGGTCACCAGATAGCAAACGAATATTGACCTCTTCTGGCGACAAGACAGTCAAGATCTGGGATATTGAAACTCAAAAAGTTGTCCAGTAGGTTCACATCCGCATATGACCATATTGTTTATTTACTTTGCACTGATTTCTCTGCTCGCCGGCGTGCTTAAAACTGTTAATAAGGACTTTCAATTTTTCCGAATCTGTTGATGATATGCAAGTTGGTAATTTATGGCAAGGAGAATATCTGATAAGTCTGTCTTTATCCGGGGATATAAATTATTTGTCACCGAGTTCACCCTCTCCCGTGAGAGTGGTTAAGGTAGCTAGCTTTACGTGTTCATACCAATATGCGTGTCTTTACTAATGACAAGTTGAACCAATAAAAAAGGGTCATCAAAAGTCCATTACGGCTTTAACGAAGAGCGCGGTTGATGATACATTCTTCACAGGGAGCTATGATGGACGAATTTATATCCTTCTTGTTTTATATAAATACTCGATTTTTTCATCTTTAAAAAAAAAAAAATCTTTCCTTAACTGTGATCACACATGCGTGGACCGGTGAAGGTGACGGATCCCCTGTCAGCGGAACAGGGCACAACAATTTAATCATTCAGTTGACTTCCCATGAAAGCAAAGTAATTTCGATCGGCATGGATGATACAATGAGGGTGATTGACACAGAATCTAAATCATTCAAGTAAGCAAGCGGTATAATTGTATGAGGTTTCTTTGAGTGGTCGATGTGTTATATAGCCTTTCTTATTTCAGTGAGACAGAGGTTCCAACTGGTTCTCTACCCAAAGGCTTGACGATATCAAAAGATGGAAAAACTTTTATCGCCACGTTAAATGATGTACATATCATCAAGGATGGAAAAATCGTTTATAGTATTCCGTTGCCTTCTCCCTCCGGTGCCATTGCCATTAACCCTAGTGGTACAGAAATTGCGGTTGGAAGTGAAGTTGGTCTAATTTCACATTTTTTCTCAATGTGTGCTGTTGTTGGATGATATTTTTACAAGTTAGCGCCACCACGTTCACAGGATGCTAAGGTTCGGATTTACAGAGTAAATAATGCCGAACTCGAGGAGAAAGAACGATTAACGGACAACCGAGGTGCAATCACAGCTATTGCATATTCTCCCGACGGGTCTCTGCTTGCTGTAGGGGACTCCCTAGGAAAAATAATTGCGTATGACGCGGAAAGCAAAAAGGTTTAATACGTTATGCCAACGATTGATTTTATTTCGTCACCTTCGATTCCATAGTAAATCCCATTAAAACCACCTTACTATACATAAAGAACAAGGAATTCTACTGGGGCTTTCACACCGCAAAGGTTAATTCTATTGCTTGGTCGCCTGATAGCCTTCATGCTGCAAGCGGTTCGCTGGATACCAATGTCTACGTTTGGAGTGTCGAAAAACCGACGAAAAATGTTGCCATAAAAGGTAATAGCCGAACAATTTTGCATCCAATTTTGGCGGTTCATTTGACAAGATCTGCTTACTTTCTTTCTTTAAAGGCGCTCATCAGGTTAACGTTAATGGAGTAAGCTTTCGGGACAATAATACAGTGGTATCGGTGGGCCAAGACGCGTGCCTAAAAACTTGGATAATTCAACATCCTTGATTGATGAGTTTTTAAAAATGTAATCCTAATTGGGAATAAATTACTTCACCTCAGTCTTTATAATTTAACCTTGACAAACATGGCCCAATTGATTGACCATGACGCGTCTAATCAGAGATAAGAAAAAAAAAATGCGCTCCTTTGACGCGAAAAAAAACCCCACGTCATCCTCACATGATTTAAAGAGCGTGTCTGGGGATGGTAAAAGAATTTACTCATCTTTAATGAGACGCTTGTCCATGAACTAAATGGATTACATTATGAAAATTGAAAGCACGAATGAGTTCCCACTTTCTCATTACCGGTAGTTTACGTTATGATGTCCTCAATAAGTTTGGGTCCGTCATCATGAAATGAACGACGTTAACTATTGCAAAAAGTAAAAGAAATTCTTGATAGCTAAATAAATTTAGAAAATTTCTTAGAGAAAATTATAAAATGTCAATGATAAGGAAGTAAATATATAAAAATTTCGACTCCGGCTTTAATTTCATTCTCCATTCCGATATCAAGCGATTGAATATAATTAAACTTTAAGTGATACGCCTCGAGAGGAGACTCGGCATTGAGAACTATGTATCTTTCCTATCCGAGTCAATAATATCATTGAAAATGACATCGTGTGCGAAAAAATTGGTATTTGATTTTATTCTCATATGAGTCGATTGGTAAGTTTCGTTTGGTTCCTTGTTCGCATCACACACTCCATTTTCAGTTGAGACCATCAGAGAGAAAATTGTTGGAACCGTATCTAAGGGAAATTGAAAAACTTCAAAACGAAAATGCAAGCTTAAAGAGGGATCACCGTGTGATTGAATCGCGCCAGGAAGAAATCATCAAGAATCAACTCAAGGACCTTGCGATGACCAAGAGGTTGCTGTCCGAAACGCAAGAAGACTTTGATCTGTTATTAAAGAAATACAATATTCATATCGATGAAGCTTCGAATGTTAATAAGAAGAAGACCGAAAATTTCACTCGGAATTCCACGACTTCATCCTCACGCGATGATCGTAAAGCCCTAATCACTCTGCAAGAATCGATTAAAGATATTTACGACTTAATTGAAAGGGCTAGAGGGAATTACGGTAGTTCGAGGAATAGCCTAGGAATGGATACTGGCAAAGATGTGAAAGCATGTTCTGAAGACGGCGACGAAGATTTTGACGACCTAAAAGCGAGAATCAGAAAGATGAGCTTGCAACTTGCGCTTTGCCAGAAAGAATTAGAAATCACGAGTGATGCAAATCAGATTGCTCGTGACACCTCCAAGTTTATGCTCGAGATTCTCCCTTTTAAAGATCTCGCGTCGAGGCCTTCAATATCAGGTCTTGATCCTGAGAAAGATTGCAAAGTGAACGAGGAACATCGAAATTTTAAAGACGAGACAAACATTGAAGTCGAATCAAAGTATGATGCAGATATTTTTCATGCGGAACCAGTGGATTACATGGATATTGATCCTAATGTCGGATCAATTTCCCAAAATTCCGTCCCAATCTCAAGGTCTACTTCAAATCCAACTTCACTGAATTCAATGTCCAAATGCTTGGCCACAAAAGATACGGACGAAACGAAATCTAACGATATTAATATTATAACGTCTGATTGCTGCAATCCAACATTCGAAGCTGTCGATGAGATAACACCCAACAACTTGAATGCATCAATTAAACTTCCCACGAAGTCATTTGTATCCTTCCCGACAAGACCCTCACCACTCTTCAATAGTCCTATGCGCTCAATGAATACTGGTTTCGTCACCTTTACAAGAGCACGCGACGCGAAATTCAATGAACCAACAATCTATAGAAAATTCACGAACGATTCCTCATACAAAAGGTATTACGTATGCGAATGGGACGAATGTGCAAGGTTCTACGTGACAAAGAAAGAGTTGAAGGTGCATGTGCTGGAAGAACACGGGTGGACTTGGTGCAACTTAAATGGGCATAAAGCACACAACAAGAGAAACACAGCAGCTTGAGAACGTTGAATACTTTTATAAAATTGTACGATAATAATATTTGTTATTAATGGAAATTTTTAAAAAAAAATTGGTATCATTGGTATTGTATTTAAACCATTGATTTCGATATCAAATAACTTTCAGAAATACAGTAATTGTACAATTTATTTTTTAACCCATCTATAATGTTATAATGACTATTCACATGACAGCTAACTCTCTTTGTACATTTTTAGTTGAAGAACTACACTACTTAAAAATATATGGAATTCATACTAAGCTAGTTTGAATTAAACAAAACAACAATATTTCACTTTTCTAATATACAGTATTAATACTAATCTTTATCTATCATGATTATTGTTTACAATTTATTATTTTATATTATTTTTCAAAAATAATAAATTGTTGATATTAAATTGAAAAAAAAAAACAAAAAAAAAAACAATTCAAAACTTGTGTCATCTTTTATAGTTATATAATTTCTATTGATTAATAATTTATTTTTTTTTTCTTGCCAATATCTTTAATAATACTGTATATATAAGTTTATTATCTAAAAATTATTATAAAAAATATTATTTGTTTATTTATTTATTTATTGTTATTAAAAGTAGTTAATATGTTGTAAAATAAAACTCTTTCCGCTAATCCTCTGACCACACACAAAAAAGATGTTCACAAGAAGTTTTTATACTTCCTTGCTAATAAAGTCTTAATAC